AATAGGATAATTAATATAGTGATAAAGGATATCCTTGTCTTGTGCCTGATTTTAAAGTAAAGGCTTTCAATTTTTGGCCATTTAGCATGATGCTGGCTGTTGGTTTGTCATAAATGGCCTTTATTATATTGAGGTAAAGACCATCTATTCCAATTTTCTGTAAAGTTCTTATCATGAATGAATGTTGGACCTTATCAAAGGCTTTTTCTGCATCTATAGAAATGATCATGTGATTCTTACTTTTGGCTTTATTAATATGGTGGATTAACTTTATTGATTTACATATGTTGAACCATCCTTGCATTCCTAGGGTGAATCCCACTTGTTCATGGTGTATAATCTTTTTGATGATTTGCTGAATCCTATTTGCCAATATTTTATTGAGGATTTTTGTATCTGTGTTCATTAGGGAGATTGGTCTATAGTTCTCTTTTTTAGTTGGGTCTTTCTCAGGTTTTGGTACTAGAGTAATATTTGCTTCCAGGAATGATTTAGGAAGGATTGCTTCCCTTTCAATTTCATTGAATAATTTGAGGAGTGTCAGCATTAAGTCTTCTTTGTATTTCTTGTAGAATTCTGCAGTGAATCCATCTGGGCCTAGACTCATCTTTGTAGGCAAGGACTTAATTAGATTTTCAATTTCATTAATAGAGATTGGGTTATTCAGCAGTTTTAAATCATCTTGATCTAGCTTTGGTACTTCATGTGTTTCTAGGAATCTGTCTATTTCTTCTGTGTTATCAAACTTTGAGAGTAGAGGTTTTCAAAATAGGTGTTGATGATCTTCTGTATTTCTGTAGAGTCTGTAGTGATTTCACCTTTTTCATTTCTTATTGCATGAATTTGTGCTTTTTCTTCCCTTTTTTAAATAAGGTTGGCTAGGGGCTTATCGATTTTATTTATTCTTTCAAAGAACCAACTCTTTCATTCGTTGATTTTTTGGATTGTTTTCTTAGTCTCTATTGCATTGATTTATGCTCTGATTTTTATAATTTCCTCCTTCTTTTGGCTTTGGGCTTGACTTGCTCTTCTTTTTCTAGCTGTTTGAGGTGTAGCATCAGGTTACTTATTTGTATTCGTTCTGTTTTCCTGATGTGGGAACTCAGTGCAATAAATTTTCCTCTGAGGATGGCTTTCATTGCGTCCCACAGATTGTGGTAAGTTGTATCTGTATTTTCATTTTCTTGTAGGTATTCTTGATTTCTTCTTTAATTTCCTCTGTGACCCACTGATTACTCAAGAGTGTGTTATTCAGTTTCCATGTGTTTGTGGGATTTTTGCAGTATCTTTTATCATTAATTTCTAATTTCAAAGCACTATGATCTGATAACATGCAAGGGAATATTTCCACTCTTTTGCATTTGTTTAAATATGTTCTGTGAGCTAGTATATGGTATATTTTAGAAAATGACCTATGTACTGCTGAGAAGAATGTGTATTCTGAAGTTGTTGAGTGGAACATTCTGTATATGTCTATTAAGTCCATTTGTTTACAGGTGTGATTCAGTTCTGTTATTTCTTTGCTCATTTTCTGTCTGGTTGATCTGTCCCTTGGTGTCAATGGTATGTTAAGGTCTCCTGTTACAATTGTGCTACTGATAATTTGAGTTTTCAGTTGTGTTAATAGTTGTTTTATATAACTGGGTGCTCTGGAGTTTGGTGCATATATATTTAAGATAATTATCTCTTCTTCTTGGAGTTTTCCCCCAGGAGTATGTAGTGACCTTCTTTGTCCTTTATGATCTTGTTGGTTTAAAGTTCATGTTGTCTACAAACAGAATAGCTACTCCTGCTTTTTTTTGGATTCCTGTTGCATGAAGTATTATTTTCCATCCTTTGACTTTCAGTCTGTGAGTATCCTTCTGGGTTAGATGGGTTTCCTATAAACAGCATTGGTTGGATTTTGATTCTTGATCCATTCTGCTAGTCTGTTTCTTTTCATTGGTGCATTGAGACCATTTACATCAATGGTTATAACTGTTAAATGCTGGTTTATTGTTGACATGTTGTCTCTCTGCTGTTATCTTTCTGTTCTGTTTAATTATCTGCTTTGCTTAGTGGTTTTTTTCCTTTGTGTATCTAAATTGTCTCTCAATATTTTTTGCAGGGTTGGCTTGGTGTTCATGAAGTTCTTCAGCTGTTCTTTGTCATGGAAGTATCGTATTTCACCATCGATTTTGAGTGATAGTTTTGCAGGGTACATCTGTCTAGGTTGGAAATCATTTTGCTTTAGGATCTGGAATACTTCACACCATGCTCTTCTTGACTTTATTGTTTGTGCTGAGAAGTCTGCTGTGATTCTGATAGGTTTTCCTTTATAAGTGGTCTGTCTTTACTCTCTGACAGCTTTTAACAATCTATTCTTGTGTTGCATTTGTGGGATGGTGATTATTATATGTCTGGGTGTAGTTTTATTTGGTTATGACTATTTGGAGTTCTATAGGCTTCACTGAACCTGAACCTGTAAGTTTCTGATCTCATGCTTGGGAAATTTTCAGCTATTACTTCTCTAAATATCCACTTGACATCCTTTGTGTTGTCCCCTTCTTTTTCATTAATCCCTCTTGATCTTATGTTGTTTTTCTTTGCATCATCTTGCAGTTGTTGAATTGTTATTTAATGATTCCTTGTTATTTTTTAAAGATCTTTCTTTTCCTGTTCACTAGCTGCAATCCTGTCTTCAAGGTCTGAAATTCTATCTTCGCTTTCATTGAGGTGGTTTTTATAGCTTTCAGTGGAGTTTTTTATTTCCTGTATATCCATGTGCATCTGCTTTATGTATTCTGTTTGTTTCTTATATTGCTCATCTAAGGATTCTATCTTTTTGTTTAGTTCCTCCAATTTTTAAACTGTGCTTTCTTTAGATATATTTAGCATCTCTTTCATTTCTTTTATCATTTCTTCGCTTACCTGGGAGATTATTTCGAGTTTGAATTCCTTTAACGCTTCCTAGAGTTGCTTGTTTATTTCAGTAGCTATTATGTCCGATATCTGAGGTGAATGGCATATATTTTCTTCTATATACATCACTCCTAGGGATCCTTGAGATGGGCTGGAGGTTTGAGGTTGTAATTTGGTCTTTTGTTTTGTCATTTTCCTATATTTCTGTGTTTCCAGTGTTATTCGAAAGCTTCCTCAGGATCTGTTGGAAATCCACTTTCTATGTTCACAGCTCCTGGGACTCTGGCACCAGTTCCCCCAGACCGCTGGGCCTCTGGAATCAGTGGCCTTCTTCTGCCTGTTTAGAACTCCGAAGTTCCAGATAAGCTGGGCTCCAAGGACACTGTGCGCCCGCCTGCTTGCTCGAAACTCCACAGTTCTCTGAGCACAGCTGGAATAGGGAGGCAGATGTAGGCGCCTGGGGCCCACTTAGCCACTTCACTGCACCCGGAAGCCTGGAGGGTCCTGAACAGTCTGGGCTTGGGGCAGAGTGCACTGGGAACTTACCGAAGGACACGGGGCCTCTGGATCTGATGATGCTCATCTGCTTGCTAAGAAATCCACAGTCCTCTAGGCACATGGGGAGGTGGCTGCAGGTGCCCCAGATCTGCCCAGCCCTTACTCTGCACCCGGACAGTGCAAGAGTCCCAAATAGGGGGACTGGGGATTTAGCTCAGCGGCATAAGCTCCTGCCTTGCAAGCAGGCGGTCGTGAGTTTGATCCCCGGTACCAATAAAAATGAAAAAGACAAAAAAAAAAAAAATAGTCCCAAATAAGCTGGGCTCTGGGGATAGTGTGCACCCACCTGCTTGCTAGAAACTCCACCCAATGAGGTGGTTTAAACCAAGATGGATTGTCTAAGCATTTGAGTTTGTTTTGTTTTGTGTTTTTTCAAGACAGGGTCTCACTATGTAGTTCAGACTGGCCTTGAACTCACTATGTGCACCTTTACTTGATTGGCCTCAGGGAGCAAAGGGCTGAGCCTGCTCCTTGAAATCCCTGGACCCCTGGATTTTGCTCCTGAATTCCAGCAACAATACCACAGTGGGATAGAGAGGGGCTGGAGGCCATGGATGGGCAAGGAGCAGGAATAAAAGAGTTCCCAAGTTGGGGTCCAAGGCATGACATAGCTGCTGCTGAATGTGTGGTATACTAATATTGTAATAAAATCAAGAAATATTCCTGGAGGTAAAACTCCTTAACTCCCGAGGAAAGCTCGAGAGACAGAGAGGTTTGCTTCAACCCAAACTTCAACCCAAACAGAGAAGACAGAGTCTTCTCTGCAAAGACTCACCTATTGAGCACAGAGGAGAGGAGAAGCAGGATGACCCAGCTCACTAAGTCCCCTGTACAAGCCACCCAAGTGACAGTGAGGAGAAATAGAGCCACATAGAGGTGGAGTCAGCACATCTATTTGAATTAACTGGAGATTTCGATGGAACCTGAGACTGGTAGAACATATCATATCCAAGCTGACTGGTGGAAAAGGATGAGACACAAGACAGGAAGGAGCCGATATCCATCTAAGGGTTGTGTGATCTTCCCACTTGCTCAGGCTTCCTGATCTGCTGCCTGAGCCAAGTCTCAGCAACAGCGCTGCCCAAACAGTAACACTGCGAGCTTCCTGGAGCTCCTTCAAATATGGATTCTGACTTGGTCAATCTGGGATGAGCTGCTGCCTTTCCAACTAGTGTCTCCATAGCCCCAGTGTCCTGTCCAATGAGACTGGCCATGGAAGAGGCTAGAAGGCTGCTAGAAGACTTCTAGAAGAATGGCATTTTGAGGCCAGACTGGGTAACTCAGTAAAACTCAATCAAACTACAATGAGGAAGGGAAGGATCCAAAATCAACATTAAAAGTTGATAGATTTTTTATGTACAAGCTAGGTGGCAATTTCCGTTTGCAATAGCTTTTTTTAAAAATTATAATCCTAGAAATCAGTCTGGTCAAGAAGATAAAAGACATTGACTGAAAATTACACAGGGATGAAAAAAATTTAAGAGGACATGAGAAGACTGTAAAACCTCCCAAGTTCATAGATTGACAAAAATAATCCTCACCTTGTGTTCCAGTACTTTGAGTAGTAGTCAGCACCTTGGGACTCTGTCCACAGACCCTCATGCACTCTTCCTTGGTCTCAAAGTTGTTCTGCTTTTCTCTGCAGCCACCATATAAAAAGGCTTCACAGCGTCCGGAGTGGGCATTGTAGTAGTATCTGATCAACAGAATCCTGCAGGGACCCATGAAGGAACGCTCCAGGCAGAAGGCAGGCCGCTGGACTGCAGGGACAGCAGAGAGTCTGCATTGAACTAGGGAAATGGTCATGCAGGGCCATCCACATGGCAAAAAACGAACTCAAACAATGTATCTGGTGAACAGTGGGCAGGAGCTGAAAGTACAAAACTCCATTTGATAGCTTGTTTCTGGACATTACATTAATTTTGTGAAGTGTACCATTATATGGTGAAAATGTTAAAAATTTTATGCACGCCCTTGAAGTTTTTATGCACTCATTAATTGGACGATGCCTGAGATTTGATTTTAGGAAATACCAGATATTAAAAAAAAGTCCACTGGTGCAAATCTGTAATCCCAGCAGCCCAGAGGCTGAGACAGGAGAATTGTTGCAAGGTCGAGAGCAGCCTGATCTACAGAGTGAGTTCAAGCTCAGCTTGAATTACACAGCAAGACCCTGTCTCAAACAAATAATAATGTTTTTGTTTGTTTATATATATAGTATAACTAAATACATAGTTTGCTTGTTTATTTGTATATATATATATATATATATATGTATGAAATTATACAGGTGGAAGTTTCATATATATACTAATCTCCATAGGTCAACAATTGTTGTTTTTGAATAATGGATACATAAATGCTTAATATCCAACGTCCTGTTTTCTGTTTTGCATCTTTGCAAGTTGTCATTATTTAAAAAACCTTCTGTAGCCAGTCATGATGTCATGGAAGAATACAAGGGAGAAAACATTTTGTCTTTATCTCAATCAGTGGAATGGCATTGATGGAACTTGTTATTGTTGGCTGTGTTGAAGACAACAGAAAAATGGCATATTGGTGGTGAGTCTTAAAAGCTTCTTTATATATCATTATTTTATTTTACTCCTTACAAAATTTGTGGGTTCCTTTTATATTTCAAAAATAAGGAAAGATTTATTATGCAAAGCATTGTAATTTTGCAAATTAATACATTGCACAAGAATGTTGCAGTATATTGTGGATTAAAAGAGAAGTATGTTGTCTGGGGACATCTTACTTCAGTAAAGACTGAAATATGTGTTAGAATGTGACTGTCAGTCCTTTGTAGCAGCAGACTTCACTTTTCAGTGAAATCTGTTAGGTCTGTGGGTGCAGAGCCCAGAGCCCCATCCTCGGTGTTCTCACAACAACCCTTCTTTACAACCCCTGCCCAGCTAAACTTATTGCTCAAGAACTATTATGGAAATCTTGAAACTACAAGTTCTATAATGTGTGATTGGTAACTTTCACTGGTTGTGTGGGTTGAGGTAGGAAAATGAATCACTCTGAGCCATCTGTCTCAGAGCAGATTCCAAATTCTAATGCCTTGGCTATATAAACGTTGGGATTCAACTACCCATCTTTGAGAATTCTCCTGAATGAGTCTCAGAACTCAAGAAGGCAATCTGAGCCTGATGTAATGGTCCATGCACGTGATCCCAGCATCTAGAATGCAAAGGCAGGAGGATCACAAGTCAGAGTCCAGCCTGGACAACCTAGACCTTGTTCCAAAATAAGAAAAAAATGAAAAAAAAATCTGATGACATAGCTTAGTACAAAGGCTAGGTTTAATCTTCAATACTGTAAAAATAAATAAATTTAATTAATTAATAGAAAATAAATAAAGAAGAAACTAATGTTTCTGCAAAATTACATGGGAATTGATTGAACAGATGCATAGGGAAGGACAAGCAGGGGGTGACCCATGTCTTATTTTGGGTGTGCTTGCTTTCTACTCACCTACATGTTCACCAGTATGGAAGTACCCCAAACCCACCATTAGGGTTTTCATTGAGGTTTTATTACATACATAGCAGTGTTCAACCATTAGAGTGTTAACTCTCTCTCAGTGATCTATTCCCCTCCCAGAGGGTAGAGGGTAGGAAGGAAACTCAAGCCCACCAATCATCTGATTCATGTGTTTGGTAATAGGTGCTGCCTCTTGCCCCAGTGCCTACAGCATCTCATAGGCACACACATAGCAGGAAATGTCCAAATTCCATGAATGCCATTCCACTGATTGAGACAAAGACAAAAGGTTTATTTTTCACTATATTGTATCAGGGACCCAGAGGTTAGACATGCTGATGAGCAATGGCCAACTGAATCAATAAAGTTTGGTATCTCTGCCGTCATTCTCAAATGTCTTCCTGATTACCTTAAAATGTAGGATCAAATGTCTGCTCAGCTCTGCCTGAATGCATGTTAATTATCTATAATATGAGATTTATTAACCCTAAATTGACCTATTCTATTACATTCCCTTCTAAGATTAGGCACACTAAGATGAGAATAATCAAAATACATTTCAGGATTTTCAGGGACACCCAATTGCCTGCTTTCACAAAATCCACATTGAGATCTCCTGGAACCTGACCTGATCTGTGGGTAAGTCCTTGGACACCCTAGATGGGGAGTGGGGATGAAAAGGAAACAACATACACAAAGAGTGGAGACAAGCTGAGGAAGTCCAATCAAGTCTCTTTACTCAAGGAATGAGTATCAAATACATAGGGTATTGAGGAGGAGGGATTTGGATGCTGAGACATCAGCAGGTAACTTGGCACAGTGGCAAGACCAAGGTTTATAGGTCAGTTCAAATTTCCCATGCATGCAGGCTCACAGGTATAATCCCTGAGCAATGAACCAGGATAAACAAGTTATGCAACGTGCTGCTTAACTACCAAACTTAATTCCTAGAGGAATTAAGGTGGTTGGGCCTGCAGATGTTAAGGTGGCAGCCTATTACAGGGCTTCCCACAGGTCCCTCTTTATTTTAAAATACAAAAGGCATATAAGACGCTGCATCCTTGAGGAGATTGTGCCTGTCTTGGGTCAAGGTGCTTCCACAGGGAGGCCAACCTAGGCTTACCCGTCATTGGAAGGCAGAGCAGCGAGAGGCCCAGTTCCTGTCTTAGGTGGAAGTTGGCATCCCGTGTGAGGCCCAGTTGCCCATCTCTAGCTATCCAGTCTATCGCACCAAGGCAAGAGAAATGGATCTTGCAGCATGCTTTCACAAAGCATTATTATAATACAGTTTTGCAGGCTCCATGTAATTTTCTCTATCAGCCACTCTAAACCTGTGGTAATGGACCTATATAGGTTGGATTTTTATGGCATCCACCAGTTTTTTGACAAAAGCTATCAACTTATTCATCATCATCCCAAGATATAGGATCCAGGCTGTTGGTTCCATCATCTGAAAAATAAAACTTGCAAAAAATTCTCTCAGGGGACATTTTTCATCCCTGGAGTCATCTGTAACATTATTTTCTATTTGTTGTATTTGATCTATTTGTATAACCAATCATTCTGGCAAGAATCTCCCAGATTTCATCACTTTAGAGTCAATGCATACTGATCCTAGTCCCCAGGTAACAACTGAGTCTGGACCATGCCATGAGTTAGTCAGGGGGTCTCTCCATAGTACAGAAGGAAATTGCTTTTGTGTTTCAGTATGCCAAAAATGCATGGCTGGTGCCTGTCCAGCAGCATCGAAATTTAAAAAATTAAGGATGAATAAGGCATGAGATAGAATATTTTTAGGTTTCCCACTTGTGGAGTACCATTTCCTCTTTTTTCTTTTATCAACAGTGAGTTTTAGGAGAGATGTGCCTTTTCAACTATGCCTTGACCTTGAGGGTTATAAGGTATGCCTTTTATATGATGAATATTAAGATGCTGACAGAAATGAGCGAAGGCAGAACTAGTGTAGCCTGGACCATTATCAGTCTTTAACTGTTGTGGGCATCCCAGAACTCATAAGGTAGTTAACATAAGACTAATAACATGTTTGGTAGCTTCTCAAGTCTGGAGAGAGGCATGAATGAAACCACTAAAGGTATCTATATTTAGATGAACATATTTGAGATTGCTAAACTCAGGAATGTGGGTGACATCCATTTGCCATAATGCATTAGGGATAAGTCCTCTAGGACTAACCCCAAAGTGTGGAACTAGCAGGTGTGTGGCACAAGAGGGGCAATTTTTTACTATCTGTCTGGCTTGCTCTCTGGTGATCTTGTGCATAAGACAGAGGGTTTGAGCATTGAGATGGTGAAATTGATGACTCTTTTGTGCTGAAGTAACATTGTCATCGTAATCACCCGAGCTAACATTAGCTAAAGTACAAAGGAGAGCTTGTGGTCGAGTAGCCAGGTCTGCTGCATGATTATCATTGGCCAGAGGTCTTTGTAACCCAGAGTGAGCACATAGATGTCCAATAAAAAAAGGGGCAACTTCTTTTTATAATAAGCACCTGTATTTGACTAAACAGTTCTCCAGTGCTGGAAGCACTTTTGATTTGGCTAGCTGTTTCTAGCAGGAGCACATTGTATGCAATAAAAGTGCTGTCAGTATATAAATTGATGGGCTCTTTGGGAAATGCTGAAAGAGCTGCAGTGACAGCATGCAACTCTGTGATCTGGGCTGATGTACCATTTGTTCGGAAGGATACAGTTTTACCAGGTGAATATCCACTATTTAACACTTGAGCAGTGACAATGGTATTTGGGCTACCCATGATTAATCCCATTTGATCTCTACCCCAAAGATTTATTGGTAATCCAGCTATGACATATGGCTGTATTTAAGGCCTTGTTGATAAGCAGTTTCAATGTCAGTGGTATCAGGGATTGAACTCACAGCTTTACATTTGTCAGGCAGGGGCTTGTGCCACTGAGCTAAATCTCCAGCCCTGGGGACTGAACTCACAACCTTGTGCTTGGCTGGCAGGTGCTTGTGCCATTGAGGTAAATCCCTGGCCTTTGCTTAATGCTCATGAGAGAAGAACTCATATCTCCCTTAAATTGTTTTTGGGCCTCTCTGTCAGCATTGGCCTCCTCCCCTATTAACATTTCAAGGTCCCACCCATTGCAGGCTTGCCTATGGTGCCTGGAGGTCTCTTTGCAATTTTCTATATATTCCGATTTCCATTAAAGATAATCCCCACTTGATAAAGTTGCTTGGGTCAATCCTTGCCAATCTGTAGGTGTGATCCAGCCGTCAGCCAAAGAATTTAAGACAGCAAGAGTATATGTGGCTGTGTCTTTCTACTGTGTAACCACTGTTTTGAATTCTCTATTCCATTTGAAATTGAAACCAGAGTAGACTCCAATAACATCACTCTCTGCATCCATCATTTCCATCACAGGGAAAGCCTCTGTATCATCTAGCTTTAATATGGGATCAGGCCTGGGGGGGAAATTTTTAAATCATGCCTCTCAACGGGGGTCATGAGCAGAATAAGCCCGCAGTAAATTCTGGGGTTAGTTTCACTTTACGTTTTAAATTTTGCTATTTTCAGCCTTTCAAATTGAGCTATCAAATCCTGATGTTCTTTTTTCAGTTTAATCTGTTGTTTAAAAGTTCTATTTGGTCTCTTAATTCCTTCCTAGTATAGAAAGTTAAACACGCTGAAGCCACAGCTATACAGCTGTTTCAGTATGGGGGAGGGGCATGAGGCTAGCCAGTCGCTTTGGTCCCCAGTAAGTTTAGCCCTGATGGACAATTGCATTTTTTTTTTTACCATTCATGCCTTTAAAGCCTTTCTCAAAATGTTAACCAAAAATCTCATGGAGGCTCATTTCTTGTCTCATAATCGCTTTTCACTTACCGAGGTCCAGCTGCGTGGTAGGCTCCCACGTGGGTCCTGTATTCTCCTTTACTTGCTCTACTGTAGGTTCCAGAACAAGGTCGCTCACTAAGTCCCCCGTTCTAGGGGCCGACGTTGGGTGGTCACTTGACCTGGCCTGCGGGTAAGTCCACAGAGACACTAGAGAGGGAGGGGAGAAGAAAAGGAAACAAGAGACACAAACAGTGGGGACAAGTTGAGGAAGTCCTATTAAATCTCTCTGTATTCAAGAAATGAGTATCAAATATATAGGGTATTGAGAAGGAGGGATTTGGATGCTGAGACATCAGCAGGTAACTTAGCAACACTGGCAAGACCGAGGTTTATTTAAAATTTCCTGCATGTGTGTGGGCTCATAAGCATAATCTCTGAACAGTGGACCAGTCTAAACAAGTTATGCAAGATGCTGCTTAATTACCAAACTTAATTCCTAGAGGGAATAAGGGTGGTGCAGCCTGCAGATGTTAAGGTGGCAGCCAATCACAGGGCTTCCCACTGGAACCATGCCTAGAAATTTCCAAACTTGCCCTTAATCTGTAATCTCCCTAGATTCCAGGAAAAGTAGACCTTTCAGACCACTCCCTGAGGAGGTCACTCCTTAAGCGGGAGCAATTATGCTGGGACAGGACAGAATTTTGTCCCTTTTCAAGAAGAAACCTCCATTTCAATATGACAAATAAATTATTTCCTAAAGTGATGAGACCCTCACAAGCTCTCATGGATCCAATCTTAAGAAAACAACCAATAGGATTATAAATTGACCAGTTACATCATAGCTGTCAGCTATGTCAAGAAATCAGCAATCATCTTTTTTAACCATTTCTGGAAAACTTTAAGCTTCTGGAAGCCTCCAAAAGATGGATACTGACTATTGTTATCAGTCCTTTCCAGCATGGACAAACTCCTTTCTTGCTCTGCACCACTGTTCCTCTCTTTTATTATGTATTATTGATGGAGCTGATGGCTGTCTGTTCAGGTCCTTGGATTTTGTCTCAGAATTCCAGTAACAAGGCCACACTGGTTCAGAGAGCTGACTGTGCAGCCAAAGACCAAAGAGAATGACAATCTCAGAGCTGGGATTCAGGATTAAGTGGTGCCATCTAGAGTGTGTTTGATACAACAAACTTACAGTCATGAAATGGACTTGGAGTTAAACCTTTCCAGTTTCTCAAAACAAAACCCAAAACAGCCACCCTAAAAAACCCACCAAACACAGAGTTTGACCCAACCCAACCTTTACTTCTGTTTCTTCAGCTTCTTGCACTGAAAGGGAGAGTTAGGGAAAGAAGGGGAGAAGGTAGATTTTTTTTTTTCAGAAGGTAGATTTACTTGGAGTGGAAACACTGGTCTCATTCTCTTGGTTGCCGACCACTGAGGTGGCAAGGAGGGCAAGGAGAGCTGCAGAGAAGCAGAGCTGATGCATCTTGCTGACCTGGACTAGAGGCTTCTTTGCAACTGGAGGCTGATTTGACACCTGCACTGGAGGCTTCTGTGATGAGCTGTGGAAGGGTATTTAAGGGGAGGAGATGGGAGGGGAGGAACTGATATTCCCGTAGGGTTGCATGATTTCTTGCAGGCAGACTTCCTGATTCTGGTTCCTGAGGCCAACAGTTTAAGCCACTGTCCTTCTAAAGCAGTATCACTGTGACCTACATAGGATCTCCCTCAGGACGTGGCTAATCTGGGCTGCCACCTTTCCAAACAGTACTTTCACAGGTCCATGATCCTCTCCTATAAAATTCACCAAGGAAAAGGCTGAGGTAGGAGGATAATATTCTAAAGGTAGCCTTGCATCTTAGTAAGACGCTTTCAAAGTGGAGCACAAAAGCCCTGAACAGGATATAAAATCTACATTAAAATATGAACACCTTTGTTGTATACCACTAGTAAGCTAGCTGAAAAAGAAAAAGAAATCAGGAAAAAAATTCCATTCATAATAATTTTAAAAAGTAAAATTCCTAGAAATCAGCCTAATCAAGATGGCAAAAGGGATTTAGAGTGAAAATTACAGAATAATACAGAAAGAAATTGAGGAAGATAGTATAAAATGGAAATCCATACAATTCATGAATTAGCAGCATTAATCCTGACTGTTTTACACAAAGTAATCCATAAATTTCAGGCGATCCCTATCAAAATTCTTCCTTCACATAACTAGACATAAAAGTCTTTAAATTAATACAAAAATAGTACACCAAATCCTGAACAGCCAAGTAATTTTTGCTCTAAGCAAAAATGATAAGGCTGTCGGTGGAAAAGGCAAGAAGCATCAAATTCTTTTTTTATCACCTCCACACCACTTTCATTTGCTCCCCTACAACTCTCCCCACCTCCTGACCCAGCGAACTTGACAACTGGCTTCAGTGTCCACCCTGATTGTGTCTAGCAGCCATTCTCCTTTACTCCACTCCAATATAGGTGCAGCTCCACTGTGGGTTGGCAGCCCTCCCCACTTCCACCGCTTCAGAGACTACCACTGCCTTCTGAAGAAAGATATGGAGCTCCTAGCATCATCAAGAAGCCAGGGATCTGGATGGACCCCCTGCTGACATCACCAAATCCAACAGCCAGCTTTCTACATTGCAGAAATCTGATATCAAATCAAATGGAAGACCCTTTGCATCAAGGAATTGGAAGATTATTATTATGTTAGCAGAATGGGGAAACCAAGTCCATATCATCAGCCCCAAGTCAGCTTTAGGTCTAGTTTATATGGGATATACAAGCAGGAGGTACATAGTTGATTTTGGTTATTATATAATTGGTTGCAAGAATTAAGTCATAGGTTGTCAGGCAGGTTTGTTTCAGGCAGGTTAGTCAGAGGGGTGGTTTACCATAAGGCAGGATAAAATAGGGAGGGAGCTGGGGCTGAGGAGGTGGTTGAAACGAGGCACGTCCTTGATTAGTTATCTCAGTTGCATTGTCTTTGAAAATACAAAATGTTTATCTGTCAGAGAGTATGTGCAGTCCAGATGCATGTGGTCAGATTGAGTCAGGTGGAGCTATCTCTAAGTCACAGCTGACATAGTAGTTTAAGCTAACTTAGTCAAATGATCTGTGTGGTGGGCTGGGTGAGCATATCTTGTTTTAACAAAGCATCACACTGTTGATTTTTAACTTTTCTGTCACATTTAGAAGTTTCCCTTGTTTAGCCCTGTTCCCTCTCTGGATCAGCACCATGACAACTGAGACTCATTAAACCCTGTACTGATGATGGATCTGTACTCTGGCAATCACAGGACTGAAGCTACTACTTCAACAACACTCCACAGGCACTTTTCAGGTTAGTCTAGAAGGGCTCCCTCCACTGTACTGACCCCTCACCTCTAAACCCAGAACTGCAGCACAGACCCTATTAAAGAGTGACTATGGTGGTTGTGTAAATCTGTGTGATTTATTTCTCAGGTAATACGGGCTTCAAAATTCCTATAAATCTGCTCAGGATTCTTAAGGTGAATAGTGTTGACAGACAAGGTAAAATCTGGTTAGAAGATATAGATCACTGGGGGATCAGTCTTGGGGGATACATTTTATTTGCTCCTCCTTTGATCACTTCTTACTTAGTGTCTGCTATGCCATGAGAAAAAAAGTCTCTGCTACCATGGCCCTCTGCAATGCTCCCTTGTTTTAGAGCCAGCTGATTATGGACTCAAACCTTGTTACAGCGTGTGTCAGATGCCCCCCCCCAACCTCATGCAGAGATAGGTGGATCTTTCCAGAGGTGGGGGGATCTAGTGTGGGTTGATAGAATTAATGTTCTTTGATTGTTTCACTGATTGGTTTGGCAACACCCTAATCGTAGTAGCCAAGATAGAGAATAAAAGGGGCAGAAAGATGCTATCGAGGTCCCTTATTGCTTTGCTGTCCTCTGTGCAACATAAGTGTTTCTCCTCTGTGAGGCCTGTCTTCCATAACCCCCTGCCTAGGAGCCAGCTGCTTATGTAGTGAATCCTCTACAATCTTTGAGCTACATGACATTTTCCTCTTTATTCTGGGTGTTGAGCATTTTGTTTCAGCTACAAGATAAAGAACTAAGGTAAATCTCGGTCAAATAAACAAAATAAACCTTTTGTGCTTTAAAAAAATGAAATATTTAGGAATGACTCTTACGAAAGAAGTGAAAGACTTATACAGTGAAAATTATAATACACTGAAAAAGGAAATTGAGGATGATCTCAGAAAATGGAAAGACATCCCTTGCTCATGGATAGGAAGAACAAACATTGTGAAGATGGCCATTCTCCCAAAACTGTTGTACAGATTCAATGCAATCCCAATAGAAATACCATCAACATACCTTATAGATCTAGAGAAATCACTCCTAAATTTCATCTGGAACCAGAAGAGACCCAGAATAGCAAAGGCAGTTCTAAGCAGCAAAGACAAAGCAGGAGGCATCACAATCCCTGACTTGAAGTTATACTACAAAGCAACAGTAGTAAAATCAACATGGTATTGGAATCAAAACAGAGCCGAGGATCAATGGAATAGATTAGAAGATACAACCACAACTACAAACACATTCAACCACCTTATCTTTGATAAAGGAGCCAAGCGGGTTCACTGGAAGAATGACAGTCTCTTTAATAAATGGTGCTGGAAAAACTGGCTCTCCATTTCCCGAAAACTAAAGTTAGACCCATGTCTATCACCATGTAAATTAAAATCTAAATGGGTCAAAGGTCTGAATATTAAAACAGAAACACTAAACCTATTGGAAAACAAATTGGGTAGAAACCCTGAAGACATAGCAGTAGGGAGAGAATTCATGAACAGGACTCAAACCGCATGGGAAATACTTCCCAGAATCAATAACTGGGACCACTTCTTATTCAAAAGTTTCTGCATGTCAAAAGAAATCTCCAGCATAGTGAAAAGAAAACCCACAAACTGGGAAAAGATCTTAGTGAACTCTCTCTCAGACAAGGGACTCTTGTCTAAAACATATAAAGAATTAAAAAAACTCAGACCCCCAAAATTCAAAGATCCAATCCAAAAATGGGCATCTGAGATGAATACGCCCTTCTCAGATGAAGAAATGCAAATGGCAAATAAATACATGCAAAAATGTTCATCATCATTGGTCATTAGGGAAATGCAAATTAAAACCACATTGAGACACCATCTCACTCCTGAAAGAATGGCCAGGATCAAGAAAACCAACAACAACAAATACTGGAGAGGCTGTGGGGAAAAAGGAACTCTCCTGC